AAATGTTCTCATATGCTTGGATTAAAGATGTCTGATGTTACCATCAGGTAAAAGACAGAATGAAATGATAAATGTGTAGGATCAAAGCCTTCTTGTCAGTGTCTGGCTTGGTCAGGGTTTGGATTATGGCCCATTCACACCACATCCAGATTACCACCAGACCAGGCTGTTTCTGGACCTAAAATGCATCCCAATGTATCCCTATGCTATTTCTGGCCTCTGTTCCCATCAGAGCAGTCCATTCCGGACCAGACCAGAAAAATGCTGCTTGTCCTATTTTGTCTGGTCTGGAATGCATCAAAATGCATGGAACGCACCTGTAAGACCATTTTAAGCTAAAAGAATCACAGCAAAAACGCAATGCACTATGTTCCAGATCTGGTCTGGAAAATGGTATGAACCCAGCCTTAGTCCTGCAGTCAGAAAAAAAAGCCAATTCTCAGATGACTTCCTCTTGATGTGGGTTTTATACAATACAACCAGTAGCAGTGACATTCCACCTCCGGGTCACAACACGCCAAGTGCTCCTTCTAGAAATGTATTCCGTTTTATAATATACTGTCCTATTTTAGTTACGCTGAGCAGCTTTATATTGTACAAGTAAATGAATGGCATAAAAAAGAAACTTTCCCAAATGTTAGTTTTTATTACATAATAAAAATAAATGGTACACAGGACATAATAAACACAAAGTATCTAAAACTCCCCGGCAATTCAAGCTAATAAAAAGTGATTACAAAAAATTGGCAGAACTGTGTTAGTCATTAATAGCTATTATTATTCCAACAGCTCTCATTAACCTGGCAGAGATTAGTGAACCAACTATGGCTACAATATTAGAATATTTAGTGTGGCACCAGTGGACATTTTTACTGTGGCTTTAAATAAAATATTGTATAGTTCTTGTTTAGAATTTATGTGTGCTATAAATTCACTTTGTGGCTGTTTATAGAGAGCCAGCTGAGGCAATAATACAAGTTATTACATAAAAATACCAAATGTGAGTATTCATTTACACCTATGTGTGCGTGAAATAGAACATATATTTAAAGATTCTTAGGAAATGCACAAAGGGATTGTTACAGATCTTCAACTGCATCAAAACTGCTCATCTTTTAACCCCTTCATGACTGAGGCCCTTTTTTCCATTTTTGCACCCATGTTATATTCCACATTTTAGGCCTGAAAATGACGTAAAACCCCCCAACATTATATATTTTCTGAATGATCTCTTGTTCTACCTTGATGTAAAGGAGTCCTGAAGACAATAACTTTATGGACTATGCAGTGTGCCCTTTAACTGTTATCCATGCAGTAGGCTTGGCACCATGGCGTCCACGTTCTCTGGAGTTTTCAGATTTATTAGAGCTGATGGATTGGAAATGTTGTTATACAGTATATGGTCTTCAGGAACGAGTGGTGCTGATCCACCAGAAATCTGTCCTGGTTTTGGGATCTGTTTTTGATGACCGCTCCATTATCTGTCACTTCTTCTATGGGAAGATCTGGGGGTAATAATGCCAATGGAAAGTTTATGACAGTAACTTCAGATTTACTATGGCCCTTGCTTGGATTAGGAAGCACCTTATTTATACAATATGGAACCAATCTTGTTATCACTTGCAATAATATGGAGTGAAAACCGCACATGGTAATAATGGAAATGCTCCCACACAGCCATTTTCCAAATTCTAAAATATTAGCAACCAGTCTAGATGGTTTCCTTTTCATCATAGAGAAGGGAACAGACACTGCATTACATCCATACATTAGTGGAGAAGATTACATTGTGTCCTGGCATTGGGTGATCCATACTGAAATGTAAAGGTTTTCAGAGCTGTACTGTGTCCACTGCAGCCTGTGCTTACCATAGAGGTGACTGTTGGATGGATGGATGTATGACTTGGGGCCTAATTAGCCCATACTGGACAATCCAGTGAAGCTGTAGAGACATATCCAATAGCCTATGTGCAAGGTCTATTAACAATAAAGCCGGGATGAATTGTAGTTTATACACAATCTAATACTAGCATAATAAATTGTGTTCAATAAGAAACTGTCACATCTTACCCAGGACAGGGCAATGCTTATTGCCTGCAACATTTACAGTATGCTGGTTCAATAATGCTGGTTTCACACTATAAGTGTTGGAGCTGTGCTGGCTGTTTTTCCAGCACAGCTCCAACACAAGATAAGGCAATTTGCCTTGGTATGGATAGGCACAGTTAGCTCCATCCCATTGCGGTTGTGCGCTCTGAAAAATATACTGCATGCAGTACTTTATTTTAGCACAGTGGGCCGGGCTGTGGTACAACCGCAACGCACTGCGCTGTGCCAATAGAACCTAATGAAATATCACTTGTGACATTTCAATAAAGTTTTAACAAAAAAAAGGTAACCAGTGCGGCCATGCATTTGTAGAGTGCTCGCTGGTATGAATGCAGCCTAAAAAGTAAGACATGCACCAGGTCCAGTCATAGAGAGTAACAGATTTACACTGTATGGCTGGGCCTGTGACCTTTCAGAGGAGTACCACCGGCTATAAGCCATTTCCAGACCCAAGTAGCCTGTGACCATGCAAAGACTGCTGTCTGCGAGGATGGGATACATGTTTATAACGGTGATTAACAGAATAAAAACTATTTCCAGTGGAGTTCCAAAAGAATAGCATTCAAAGTCTGTAATGTTTTCCACGCCAGGGCCGATGAAGTATTCATTTTGCAGACATAAAGCCGTCTTTCTATGTGAATCGTACATGATTTAACCCTAGGAACCTTGAATTCACCTTCTAGAAGAATGGGAAGGGTCGTCTTGTCATGTGTGAAGTGGCCTGTACACAGGCGTGTGCAGCTGTCACAGTGTGTGATGTCATTTCTACCTCAGCCTGTGGTGAGAACAGCATGATGTCTGGCAGGGTGTGAGGATAATGAACGGGTTTCTTACAGAGTGAATTTATATTACCAGCACAAGAATCATGACAAAAGCGTTCTCATAAGCATCTTCTGAGGGCACACATAACACTTATCCATTATGGGTTTTTGTTAATGTGGCTGTTTTATGCGTCACACAGGAGAGACGGTATTTTTTCAGTAAGATTTAAATTCTTGTGGTAAAAATTTTCTGAAACTATTTCTTGGTTCTGAATTTCTATATCCGTGCTGTACCATATTTGGATTATATATTCCATATAGAGTCATAAATGCTTTTGATGGGGATGAGCTCAGGTTTGGACTCCATTTCCTCCAAACCCAGAAGGAGTTCCTCCAGAACACGGAAGAAAACTGCTTCCATGCCACCCAATCAGCTGTGACCAGGGAATTCCCCACCCGCAGGTTAACGTAAGCAAAGAGGCCGGATGCATTGACCTTATATGGCTACGTGCCTATATTTGGTAATTTATATTTACCTAATATGGAGATGTGACCGTATAAGATAAATGACATCGGCACAAGCATCTCGCCCATTTATTTACATGCATCTGTGGGGTGTGGAATGCCCAGGCCAAAAATGATTGGGTGGAAGTTGCCATGGCACTTTCTTATTTGTAGGAACTCAGGTTTTGGACTGAATTCGGTCAGAACCTGAGTTCATCCCTACTCTTAGTCCTCTATAAATTAGGCAATTGAATTTTAATTTGTGCTTGTAGATTACTTGATATAAGCTGCATTAACCTTAAAGTGTATCTAACACAACAACAAAAAATTTAGTATATTGCATCTTACCAGTCCTTAGATGTGGTGACTGCATTCATTTTTCTTTTTCAGGCTTTTTCCCTTTGTCCTAGTGCAGGGGTAGGCAACCATGGCTTTCCAGCTGTGCTGAAACTACAAATCCCATCATGCTTCTGCCTCTGGGAGTCATGCCTGTGGCTTGCAATGCCCTATGGGATTTGTAGTTTCAGCACAGCTGGAGAGCCAAGGTTTCCTACACCTGTCCTAGTGTGATAGTGCTTACTGCACTGCACTGTATCTGTGCAGGAGTAGTGTTATTACTCTAGGTTGTTCACTGCTGATGTGGACTATAAAACACCTCCGTCTCTCCATAAGATGTGTTCTTTAGTCCACCTATGTAAACTAGGCAGGGCTTAATCCCTGCTTGAAATGCCATTGCAGCGTTTACTGGATTTCCAAGATCAACTGTTTTTGTTTTTTATTTCCTCATTGGATATTAGGCATTGCTCTGAATGGAAGAGAGGCGGTGTCATAATGATGCGTGAATACTAGTCGTCCTTTGAATGGCTGCTATACTCAGCGGGCAACTCTGCACAGCATAGTGGCTGTAGCAGGAACCCAGCAGATGCTGTAATACACTGAGTGTGTGTGTGTGTGGGTGTGCACATACCTTGCAGCGGCGGGGTTCCCATTTGAAATCCCAGTCAGGACACTATCTGCAAGGAGTTTGCATGTTCTCCCTGTGCTTCCGTGGGTTTCCTCCGAGTATTTTGTTTCCTCCCACACTCCAAAGACATGCTGGAAGGTTAATTGGCTCCTCTCTCAATTGTCCCTGTATGTATGGCATGTGGGACGGGGACCTTAGATTGTAAACTGTCAGCGCTATATAAATACCTGAAATATATATTACATAACACACACATATATAAAGCTGGAGTTCTGTTTTAAAGCAGTTATCCAGTTTTCTGGTAAAATCTAGGCATAAAATGTATATCTTGTTCCCCTAGAAGTACTTACAGACTCTAGAAGAATTTATTATGTCTAGTGGGAAATGTTCAAATGCTTTCTTTGCCGAGCAGCATAAGTAACACTGATGTCTAAAATGATTTACAAACAAATGTTTCTCTGCTGTGATTTAATATCCGTCTTGTCAGAAAGGTTAAGTAAAGCTTTAATCCAGCATGGTGTGATGTGAGGTAAGTAATAGCAACCATTCAGTCATTTTCTTTGGTCCGATGTGATTAAACAGCTACAAAACCTGAGTGACTGTTCTTTGCACAGCAATATTCTGAAATTGCCGTTATCACATTTGTTTCCTTTCTCTGACAGAATTCAGTTTGTTGCCTGAAAAACAAGGAGGCTTTGAGAAAGAATGCATTGAAAAGTATCAACACGCAGAGCCACTGTTGCGTAACACTGTGTCACTGTGTGACTGGGACGTGGTGGATGGGAAGACCGTTCCAAGCATTACTTCTCTGGCTGTCATAAAGCAAGGTGAATAAGAGTGAATAGTAGCACCATGTTATGTACCTGTGAAGATCTACCTTCTAACCAGTTCAACCATTTTCCATACTATGCCATTAACACACATCCTTTTACTGCAAAGCGGATTCGCTTTGGGAGAACATGGGATCACATGTAGATGTTCTGAGATGGTGATAAATGACTGTATTTGGCTTTCTCCATACCAGCAGGTTAGGTTGTGGGAGCGTTAGAGGCACAATTCCCTGCCATGGCTACTTAAAAACAGGATGACACCACGAAGGACTAGAGTAGGCCCTAAAGTATATTTTATACCCAGATGGTTATGATTTTTAGTTAGAACCCCTGTAAAGTTTGTTATGTATTTTGTAAGGCTGTCTGTGTCCTATTGAGGCGATCGTCCTTCATTTCCTTTCTCAAGACACAAAAGAAAGTGAGAGGAGTTTCTCCAAAGTAAGTTGAATCTGCTCTTAGGTGTTATAAGAACAAATGCCCCGATTAGAAGATTTCCCATCTTCTGTTCTAGTGTCCTCTCACTCCTGGTGATAGTGGTCACCAGAATAGAGAGGGTGAATCTCCCCACTGGGGACATGCGCAGCAGATAAAACCTGACAGATGTACTAATCCTTTCCTACACTATCCCCCCCAAAAAGTTTGACTTTAGACACGCCCTTTTTGCATCCAGAAAGAACTGGTGTCCATCTGTACAGAAAGCCTTCTGCACTGCCATCTGATCGCTGCTTTTGCGTCCTGAAGGTTTTGACACACATGATACGGGTTTGACACACATGATAAAACTCCCAGTTTAACTCAAAATATACCCCAGTGGTTGACGGAAACCGGGATACAACAAAGACTTAAAATGCTCAATGCAAACAAAGCAGTGGGTCCGGATAACCTGCACCCCAAGGTACTTAAGGAATTAAGCCAGGTTATAACTAGCCCATTAATCCTCATTTTTAAGGACTCCTTAATGACTGGTAGGATCCCCAGTGATTGGCGGAGGGCTACGGTAGTCCCAATATTCAAAAAGGGAGCTAGGTGCCAACCTGGGAACTATAGGCCGGTCAGTCTAACATCGGTAGTTTGTAAAATGCTAGAGGGA